TAAAACTGTAAAAGAGCAAACAAAACAACAACAAAACAATAAACCGAAACTTTTGGCGCCCGAGCCGAGCTGGAGAAAAGTACTGCAATTAAAATTAATTACATAAACATCAATGTGCCGCTGGCAATTAATGTTCCACCTCACAGATGTAGTTCCTCTCATCTCCAAGGACCGCAACACACCTTCCTCAGGGCTGCACGAGCTCGCACGCCCAGCTGGGTCAATTCTCGCTCACGGGTTGGGTTCGGTTCGGCCGGACTCAACTTTGCCGCAGAACCCACCCGATGCTCGCAGTTCGCTCTCGATTTCCGCAGTGCCCGCAATGCCCGCACCCACGAGCCCAGTTGACAATAATGAATACTTAATAAAGTGGCATTAAAGGTAGTTGCCCGGATCCCGTTCCAGCACTCTGCACTCTGTGCAAAAGGCGGCTAAAAGACCGAATTCCATAGAAGGCTCAAGGCAAAGTTTACCTTTGTTCTGGAGCTCAGTTCCGCATTTCTTATTTGCTAGTTGTGGCTGCCTGGCTGGCTGGCTAAAATTTCATTTCAATTATCAACGGTGGAGCCGTTCGGGTTGCCTTAATGTGGGTTGTGGGCCGCCCTTAAAGGTTCCGCATTGGGGATCTCCTAATGAATATTTATTTTTATGCTAAACATTTTACACTTCAGCACTGTGGCGCCCCGGCAAATGATAAACAATATTTGAAATTTCACTTCAGCAACCTTATGGCCAAAGCTTGAATTATAATTATCGTAAACAATAAATAAACAATAAACCAAATCGACAAAACAAGATTTGTGTGTCTGTATTAATGTGTGTGTGTGTTATGGAAAGTCTAGTTGTAAGAATCGCACAGCAAGGCAGAAGAAGAAGAACTAAAATCAATACATTCGTAATTTGATTGCTTATTGAGCCTTGAGCTAAGTTTGAGCTGCGTGTGAACTTGATGAGGCTCATTGGCTAAACTAATACCAATTAGTAATTACCCTACACAGATGAGATGAACTTTTTTTCACATACGTTTCGTAAAGTGCGTCGTATTCCACTTCGTATTTGCTCGGGCCGCTTGCTTTTAGGTTCGATCAACGAAAAGAAGACGTCTCAACATCAGTGCTTTTCTTACTTTTCTGTCGCTCTTTTCCTGTGACCCTGCGCTCTCTCTCATATAAAATTCCATGTATGCGTTCACAAGCAGCAACTCATGAAAATTGATATTTGCTCATCCCAGAAGTCCCGTTACTTCCTTGCTTAGTAGAAGAGCAGCATGCAAGCTGTTGCCTCTCTCAACAAGTTCTTTATTATAAAAGCTTCGTCAAATTGACTTTAATACAAAAAGAAAATTCAACCGGAAACTTCGGCACAAATTATACCGTTTTTCTTTTACATACATATATTTTTTTTTTTGATTAATTTTTGATTAGCACAGGAATTTGCTCATTATTTTCAGCATTTCGATGAGTTTTAATTGAATGCCAATAAAACTGTTCTGTCATTGGGCGGGCATAAAAATGAATGCCAAAGGTTAGGCAAGAGCTGGAGGCAACTCAATCGAAGCGCGAATTAATAGAAATTCAAAGCCCAAAAACAAATTTGATCCAAATATTTTGTCAGAGTTTTTGGCATGTGGCATATTAAACTGTGAAACTCAACTCACCTGTGTGCACCTGAACGGAGCTGAAAATCAAATTAAAAATCCAGGAATGCAATCAAAACAAACACAGAAAGAATCAAGAAAATATTTTCATTAAAGAATCTTGCCTTGTTCGTAACGGAGCAAGGAAATTGTATTTGGTTGTTATTTGGCAGACGACAAAAATGTTTAATTATGAACGAAAAGACAGCTAAAATTCAGGATTTTTAATAAAAGTATAATATATCACAAAAGCCACAAAAATGAAAAGAGAAATTTAAATTTCATTTGTTTTGAAAAGGAAGGCAATTTTAGATAGGTTATTTATTTTTATTTATTTATTTAATTTTTTGTTCAGTACTTATTTTATATATTTCATTGTTTAACCCTCTAATGCTGTTTTCTTAACTATTGGAGGAAAATAATTGGAACAATTTTTTTTAAAGTAAATTTAGGCTTCTAAACTCAAAAATGAACTCAGAAAAAATATAGAAGTTTTTGTTTAGCCGTCAGGTGCAAAAAAGGTAATAAGTGTCTCAAGACACTCTTGGGCATCTAAGAGTAAAAAAAAAACGTATTTAATAGAAATGTTAATTTTTATTATTCATATGATATGTTTTAAAACAATTTTTTGTTGATGTGCAGCATAGATGTAAATTACATTTTTCACAAATGCATTGCGTTTGTGATGATTTACAGAGCTTGCACCGTCTCTTATTGTCCCGATCCAACCAATTTGGGAAGTGGTTGACTTGGTCAAAACGTAATTCCGCTATTGGGTGTAAAGTTTTTTTTCCAAGTTTAGGCTCAAGCTGTGATGGTCGGGCCCGTGGGGATTGTGAAAAAGGTGACCGATCTGTTCGCAAAGATGGTGACTGCATCTGGTCTTGTAGAGATACGGTACTGACTGGACGACCTGCGTGGGCTTTATTTCTAAAAGCCACCAATCCTTCAGCGATTAACTCGCGAAAATCGGGAAGTTCCATCAATTTGTCACTGATTGCGTTTTGTTTTTGAATTCGCCTATAAAGAATATAAGCATTTGTTGCTGCCATATCAATACAATGATAAAAAATTCGAGTAGCAGCATCTTTGGTTTTAGCTTTGATGTGATAACGGCCCATAAGTCCATCCATAAGATCAACGCCGCCCATATGTGAGTTATATTCCCGAATTATTTGCGGACAGTCAATTTCAATATGTTGCTTTTTCTTCCTGTCATAACGGTCAATCTTAAGTGTTCTTTCACTTAAACTTTCCGTAGCAAACGGTTTAACACCTACGTAAGTTGACAATAAGCGAACGGCCTTGTTATCCTTCCAAAGTACATTACTGACTTCTACCCCGTATGACGTGCCTACGAACTCAGTCGAAAACCCTCTCGGCTTTTTGTTAATGATTGTATCGTCAGGTAGCTTGCAATTGGGGATTCGATTCGCACGTACTGTGCCAAGGCTATAAATACCCTTTGCTCGCAAATATACTATTAGAGGCAAAGAGGTATAAAAATTATCAAAGTAGACGATGTGGTGCTTAAAGCTACCCGGTACCCGTACCCGGTTTGCCATCTTTATATGGTTAATATGTCAGTTTCTAGTAAAACAATCCATATAATGAATAAGTGTACACACAAAATTGCAAGCAGTTGTGAAATAGCTGCTGGTAAAAAAAGTTGCTTGCAGCCCCAAAAGTGTCTCAAGACACTTATCACTGTTTTTAAGCTACAACGCACATTTTTTATTTTTTTTTATTTTTGTAAACTAGTTTTAATTGTAAATAAACATACCTTCCAATAAAAAATTATTTTAAATGGATTGCTTTCACAGATTTTGTAAAATAATTGTTGCACAACAGCACATGCAGCAGATCAATTTACACGCGCGAAAAAACATATGTTTTGTGTTTATGAAAATAAAAAGTACCGTTTAAAGCACTGGAGAGCTTTTAAAGCTTTTTTCTCAGTAAATTTGAATGTTTTATTAACGATCAAGCAATATTTGAAAGACAAAAAAGCTCCCTTTTTTTTTTAAATTTAAAAATAAAATAAGTGTCTCAAGACACTTATGAGCCTTAGAGGGTTAATAGAGCTATTGTCATATAATAATAAATTAGGGCTAATCAATTTTGTGACACATGAATAAATATAAAGTATTTACCAAATGATTTAACAGCATTTTATATACATTCTCTATTTCATTTCATTAAATTAAGCTTACAACGAGTGATAAAGTTGTATCGCCTTTTCTTTTTTATATGTATGCAGCCACAACTTCACTCTCCCGCACTGTCGCTGTGATCTTCAGCCTCACGATTTAGTCTACAGTCTTATAACAGTGATCTGTTAGATCGAACAACAGCTGTGCCTTCTCTCTCGCTCTCACACTTCTCTCTTTGCAGTAATAGAAAAATGAATGCATGTTGTCTGCTCTCATTGGCTCGTTCTTTTGTTTCCTCTGCTAAGTGTGCTTAACAGTTTCTCAAACTTATGTTATGATAACATTTAATGTTAATCATAAAAATACCTGGTATATATAAACGAGCTTTTGGTTTTGTGAACAGCAATTTATTTTAACAATATTTTCACATATTTACAAAGTGAAATATTAAAATTTAAAAAGAATATTACTTAGGCAGATCTAAATTGCAACTTACTGCCAACTACTTCATATAATAATAGCCTTACCTTCCAACTAACTCATCACATTTTATTGAAATGGTATATTTGGTTTTCTCTACATCGGTTTGCCTGCTTTGTAAGTACAAGCTGGTAATAAAGCCGTTAAATTATGGGCAGTAATTATAATTTTAATAAGCTTCGCAGCGGAATGTCAATGCTGCGTATAAGTAATATTAGTTTAATAAGAGTCAGGGTAGAGAAACAAAGAGCAGACTAAGAGGAGCGCCCATGGCCATGGCCATGACCTCGAGCAAGCTGCAACAAGTGGCTAATGCTAATTGCAGCCAGCGGGTGCTGTCCGACCCCAGTGTGGGCGTGGCCGTTGGAAGTATTTTTATTCGTCTGCTGCTCATTTGCCTTCTGGCCTTGGCAATGGTGATTAACACGCCATGACATGGTCATCATGTCGACGCCGAGTGCAAAATTATGCGGCCAGATATATGGGGTAGCTGAAGGCGGGATGCGGAGAGGTGTTGGGACTTGCCAGCAAAATGCATTTGGCTCTAAGAAGCTTTGTTAGCCAAATTGGCAGCCATATCTATATGTACTGACATATTCAACTGACTGACTGAATGAGGTGCCCTGAATTTGTAAAATTGATGTAAAGCAATTTATTGCTTATGTAAACTCGAATCAATATGCATAAATATGTTAAAGTATTTTATTTCTTCTCTCCCTCCCTTTTTTCAGATTTTCGAAACACATTTCTAGGCAGAGAAACGCGAGGACAGCGAATTGCCTGGGAATGTGGCATAAACTAAAATGCCGGAGCATGGGCGCCTTGGCGAGTGGGTGTGGCTGTAGCCCTATTGTGCGGCGCGAAAAGTGCTGATAAATGCCAAATAAAGTGACAACGATGCGAAAATTGCTGCGCTGGAACAGAGAACGGAGGACAGAGAGCAGAGCACGGGGAACAAGGAGCAGAGCCCCCAAGCAATTGGCTCAAGCAGCTTCTCAAATCGTTGATATCAAGTCTCTAAGTGCGCCGAGTGCGGCAGTCTGCGTGTCATCTAGGCAGGCCCCAAAGGCGTTAACAACCAATTCTAAACATACTCCATTGCACATACATATACATAGATATATGTATATATATATATATATATATATATAGCTCCTCGGTTACCTCGTCTTTTACAGTTGTTCCCTGCCTTGCAGGGAGCTCAGAGAATCCATTAAAATGCTGGCATCCCTTACGGTTGGCCGCTATGCGTCACTTCCATTTCAATTTCAAATTTGTGCATAACTGTCGCACGATTTTCCTCTTTTATTTTGCTTTGCTTGTTTTCCACATTCTGTTGTTGGTGGAATGAAAATTCGCCAATTGCGGGGAAATCTGTCAACGCAGACGTTTGGCTTTCTGCGTAAAAAAACAAAAACCACAACAAAAGGTAAATAGCTGAAACCCAAAGAAAATAAGTTACTCAACTTAGAATACCCCACAAAACAAGAAGAAGAAGGCAAACAACGGCTGGCCAAACAGAGTAAGCCTAAGCCTGACATTGATGGGATTTGCGCAGGCCACAGCCGCAGCCCGAGGAGGCAAATGTCGTTCGACCGACTGTCGGGCTGATGGAGAATAGGCGGATTGGAACGAGACAGCATTCTTCTGGATGTCTCAAAGACAATTAATTGAAATTTAACTTAGTGCTGGCAGAGAGATTAAAGAGTCTCGGCTATCTCAGATCGACTCAATATTCTATCTCAATTCCCAAATCTTTCCTCAAGGAGACGGTCGCACTCACAAGCAGTCGCCATGCAAAGCAAGTGAAAACTCTTAGATATAGTCAACCACAACTAGTCGTTATTTCGATGTGTATTTCAATATTATATTATAGCTACGTAAGCCCTCCCCTTACCCTCTCCCACTCGCTCTGAGAAACTAATTAACCCAGATGTCTAAGCTAACTTAGTTCTAGGAGTAAAGCTGTTCGACACGCTTGCAAAGTATAATATAATTTAGCATACTAGTAAATTGCACATTTCGAGCTGCAAAACAAGTCTCGAATGCTGCAATTGACGTGGAGGTGGAGGTGGAGTGTATTGGAGTCGAGGCGAATAACCAAAAGTATTCAAAGTCCTGTTGACGATGAGCCCCAGTTTTTTTGAAAGTTGATGTCAGGCCATGTTGCCGACGATGACAGACAATTATACTCTCAAATTGTTTTTCTGCAACTCAAGCCACATCTGCTGCATGTCCTGCAAATGAAGCTTTCAAAAAAAATGTCAGCGATTTTTGTGTACTTTTGGTTTGCCAAATGTGAAGAGCTGCACGGCGTATACGTAATGTGTGTTAGTTGTTAAGTGGAGTAGAGCATAAGCAAGACGAATGCCATGTTGACATGTCATCTGAATGTGACTACGACTACGACTATGACTATGACTATGAATAAATAATTTATATATGAATACTCACGAAATTATTTGTCAGCTAAGCGGGGGTTTCAATGGAAATCTCAAGTGAATTTTTATCGAAAAGTAAATGAAGCCAAATATATAAATATTTTAACTGTAATAGACTTAGGCCAAGTATTTCAAACTATTTCAATGAGAACTTATTTCATAAGGTTTGTGTTAACTGTAAAACTCAGTTAAGGAACATTTTAAAATACTTAACACTAGGCTAAGTTGAAGACAAACTAAGCTATAGAACAAACATATGTCTAGTGTGTATGTGTATATGTGTAGAAAACTCTATGTAAAAGACTCATAAGTAAAAGTCTCAGACAAAATAAGTAAATATTCAAGTAATTGCAAATTTGATAATTTTAAATGAATTTGTAAGTTGATCGTAATTTAGGCGGATTTCTAAAACGAACTAAGACACGATAAGCATCAAATACTATATGAATGTTTGTTGTATGTTAAACATTGACAAGGTAAATAAAGTATACAAAATCTAAGCTAAATATTAAATAAAATATATATAAATTTAAAAATCGAAAATCAATTTCTATTGCCAACAGCAACTCGTATTAATTAATTGTGCATAGCAATATGCAAATTAAAATGTTTTAAATTGAACTAAACCACAAGCATAAAGTCGAATAACGAATGAAATTAGATTTCAATTGGCAAATATACAAATATGAATATACATATATACAACTATATATATGAATGTATATACAAGTAAATGTGTTTGTATTAATGTACTAATTGGAATTGTTAAGCGAAGAGTAAAAAACAAAAACCAAAAGAAGCCGTCACTGAAGAGTATTACAATTGATTTAGCTATCAATGGAAACCAATTAAATACATGTTTTAATTTTAATTTCAATTTCAACGGCGAATACAGAATGCGTTTTAAATTTGAATTAAATGAAATATTTAATAAATAATGAATGTTGAATAAAAAATGCATAAATATGTGGTTTTTCTGCTGTCTGATTTTTCGCTACTGTTGACTCAGCCAATCATTTAAAAAAATGAGCGAAACTCAGGCAATTTATTTGCTTGTCAAACTGCGCAACGAATTCGCATTTAATGGCGCATACCAATGAATGATGAACACGTTTCTAGGAAGATATAAGTAAATACTGATAGTCAGAGACTGTTTATTTTGCGGTTTATATCATTTTATACACTGAGAAATGCACCATGAAAAACAGCTGAGTGAGGTGAGGTGAAGGCCAAGCCATATTAAATAACTTAAACTGTTAAATAGGCAGATTTATTTGGCTAGTTATGCTTTAGTGACTAGTGGCTAAGTTGTTCCCTTAGCCTTTCCAGATGAAATAGACCAAGGCTGACGCTTACAAATTCAAACACGAACTCACAGGAATAAACTAAACACCATAAAATTGAGAAAGTATGCATTTACTAACACTGTTAGAGAGTTAGATTTGATTTCGATATAATTCAATCACTTACATTTTTTGTCTTATATACCTAACATAGGAATTTTTACAATTTTCAGTGAATGCAATTACCATTTATTTTCATTCTAATGAAAATTATATATATAATTCATATTAAAATTTTATAATTTACATTTTCATTATACATCTGTTTCAAAGACAATCAAATGAAATTTAGCTTAGATCAAACAAAGATATTGAAGGGACACTTAAGAGTCTCAAGAGAGAGAGAGACTCTGGAAACAATTTATTCATTTAAATTGTATTTCCAATTGTATTTGTTGCTCAATTTGTGACAGTAAAAGCATTTCCAAAAGAAATAAAATTCAGATAAAATAAATTGCATATTTTCTTTTACACCTACAAAATGAATTGAATTTAAATAAATTTTAAGGCTTGTCTGACTGTGGTTAGTATGTGAAAAGCATTTTTTTAAAGAGTGAATAAAAAAACAAGTAAGAAGGCTCCAGTCGAAACTGCTCGACTAGGAGATACCCTGAACCCTCCAAGCTGATATTCTAATCATTCTGGTTTTCTTTCATGCACACATACATACACATGCACTTATACGATGCACTCTGCGATGATTCCTTCTGCCTGTTACATACTTTTCACAAAACCATTATACCCTGATTTCCCATTTTCAATGGGTTCAGGGTATAATAAATATATGTATGTATATATTTATATTATATATAAAGTAATTATAAAGCAGCGATTCGATATCTCTTCACGATTTGTATACCGGCCATTCCTCGAAGGGATAGAACTTTTCAAAAATGTCAAGTGCCTATTTACTGGATGGGCACTTACTGCATATTAAGCCCCTAAATACATTATATGACACAGTGTTTGTTTGCCTTCAGTCAACCAGACCGCCCACTGGGAGTTGTTGTAATGAAAGCAATCGGCATAAAGTTTCTCATATTCCCAGTGGTGGGGCATGTACTTCATATCACGAACTCTGGCTTAGCTTAAACTCAAATAGCTTTTAGTCAATAAAATGATTACAGCAGGAAAACTTTCCACATGCTTGATTTCATAACAACTTTTGAAAGAATATTTGATTCCAATCTAATATCGTTTAAGGAACTGCGGCATATATATATGACAGAAGAAATGTCTGCCCTGTATTCAAAGCATATTCACAGTTGGCAAACGATTAGCAGGCTGTGTCAATTAGGCAATTGTCTTGCAAATTTCGTACTCTGTTGAACATTTCCGCACTCCATTCAAGTCATTTGTGGATGCCACATGTGTCAATTGTTGCGTGCTAAATGTGCTCGATGTAGTCATTGTCTACTGTGTATTTTTGTGTGTTGTTGTTGTTGTTGTGTTTGCGGGTTTGCAGAGCAAACAAACAAGTGGCAGAACACATAGGAGAAGCGATTTGTCACTTGATAATTTACGGCCAAATACACTGGGCCGACTGCATCTGCAGGGGCAAATGAAGCAGTCCCCAAAGAGCGAAGCAACAAGTAACTCGGCTCATGTTGAGGTGGGCCGAGTTATTTTTTGTTTTACTTTCAATTAAAGTGCTGGCATTGCAGAAACTTTCGACAACGCTCGACACGGGGCGTATGCGTAATGCTCCAAATGGCCAAAGTTTGAGGGCGGCAAGTAAGAAAGTTTCGCAAATGATATGAGAGATGGGAGAGTTAGAAAGAAAGCGAAAGGCGAAACTTTGTCAACTTGTATTAAATAATTATGAAATTAATTCAAGTCACATAACTCAACAGCTTGACTCTTTAAGGAAGTTTCAACCTAAGCACACTTAAGCGCCCCTGCGTCCCTAAGAGATGCGGGAATTAATGTGCTGACATCGCAAAGGATATTTATCTGAGAGTGTGTAGGAATAATATTGGCTAGCTCTTTCAAATTATTTGATTTATGTTTGTTATTGTTTGGGTTGTCCGT